GGCCGTGGGTAGGATCAGCCTTTGCTCTGGCTGGTGTGGGACGGGAGGGTGACTGGGCACACGGTGTCCCTCAGAATGGAAAATGTCTGCTTGTGAGAGTTGGAACGGATGAGTACGTTCTTCCCCTGCCTTCCCCCAAAAATGAGACAAAAAGGGATCAGACACCAGATTGCATGCTCAGAATGGTTCAGTTGGGTTGGTTGTTTCTCGGTGCTGGTGTTTCCAAATGTTTCCCCTGAAGCAGTCCTTTGACAGCCATCCCTCAGTGTGAGTGAGGAGCCCTGGTCCTGACTGTCCTCCTTGCAGAAAGCAGGCACCTTCCCCATGACCCAGAACCGAGCTCTGCAGTTACTCTACGATCTGCGGTACCTGAGTATCATCTTGACGGCGAAGAGCGAGGAAGCAAAAACCAGCAGGATCAAGCATGACTCCGGGTGCGGTGCAGTTCTGGGGTTCAAACAGTAGCAGTAGTTTGTGGGGCCCTAAAATGGTTTAAACCAACGTCCTTAGCGGCTGTCAGGAGAACGCTGCAGGATTGGTGCCTTTGGGCCTCACGGGAGAGGGGCAACACGGACTCAGCTCTGACGTGTTCACTGACACTAAGCTCATCCTCGAAATACAGGAGGGGTGGGATTCTGCAGCCGAGAGCTCAGAAACAGCAGGCTGGTCCCCCTGCTTGCATACACAGTGTGTCCGTACGGCGGCAGGGATGCTGTCGGAGGATGCCCGGAGAGAACAGTTAAGCTCCCACCTGAGAGTTAAAACCTTGTGTATGCTCCAGTCTTGAGCACGGAGGCATCTCTCTCTGAGATGGTATCACAGGAAAAGGTTCCCCTGCGACAGCAGATGCTGGAGGCTGTGGAATAGCAAGAAACCCTTTGGCAGCTGCCGTTCTGCGGAGCCATTCCCGTTTTGCTCAGTCGCCTCTTAGGGCCAAGCCTTTCACTGTTTCAGAGGGACCAGTGAAACCACCCTGTTGGCATCAGCAGCCATTGCTAGGATGTCACCCCTGACAGGCCTCTGCTCTGCTTGCAGGCTCGAGAAGGTGGCTGACTTCCTGGAGGGACACATAGATCCGTTTGACTTGGATGTTTTCACTCCACACTTGAACAGTAACCTCAATCGCCTGGTTCAGCGAACCTCCGTAAGTTGAAGGAAAAGGAAGGGATGGATCAGGAAGCAGGGCTGCAAAACGCCTTCTGAAGGGCAGCTGGGGTGGCTTTATGAAGTGCTTAATGCCTAAAGATAACCACCAGCACTTACTCAGGAACAGGAAGAGTATTTAATGCCAGCTGAAGATAAGAGGAGCTTGCTGAGCTGGCTGCACGGCACATAATCGTGCATGGAGTTGCCTGAACTTTATCTAACAGGATTCACTGCAGCCTGTGCAATGCTAATTGGGTTAAGTAGTGCTGAGACAGACCTAGAACTCAACTATGGTCATAACGAGCAGCACCGATTAAAAGCAAGAAAAAAGGGGGAAGGGAGATGCTTCATGTTCAGACTTACTTACACTGCTGGCGAATCTATCCGTGTTCAGTTTTATTGTGTGCTCAGCTCTGCAGCTGCCACCAGATACAAACAGCTCCTTCGTGCCTTCCAGGTTCTCTTTGGCTTGCTGACTGGGACAGAGAACCAGTACGCCAGCAGGAGCGGGGCTCTGAGCTCCCAGGAGCTGCACAACATCTTGCCGTTAGCATCCAGCCAGATCAGGTAAGGTACTGGGCTCTTCTGTGCATTCTCAGGTCTCTTTGGGAAGCGGGTCTAGGCTTGCTGCTTCCCTGTGACCGGCCATCATTTCTTTCTTCCATCTCTTAAGATTTGGACTTCTGCCGCTGAGCATGTCGAGCTCGCGAAAGAGCAAGTCTGCTACCAGGAGCACAGAGAGAGCTCAGGTGGGTAAAACTGAGCCGTACTAACTTTTTGCCAGTACTCATTCTCCCACCAACACCGGAGCTTGCAGGGAAAGAAGAAAGTAGCCAAACAGTTAATATTTAACCTGATTTTTATTTTCGGTAAAATGAGAGAACCATTATGGCAACACAGCACAAGATGGTTTGGATTTCCCCTTGACCCTCAAAAAAAAAAAAAAAAAAATCCCCCTGATGGCCCCTGTGTATTGGGGGCCCACTGCTCTGTGGTAAAACATAGGCAATAACCACCATGAAAACGCAGCGAAGACTTAGGCAGGTGAGGCATTTTGAGATCAATGCATAAAAGACAATTCATTTAGAGATGGCTACAAGAAACGTTGAAGAATACTAGCTAATTATTGGAACTCCTTTCCAGTGCGATGCTGACCTTTAACTCCTGACGGAGCCTGGCTTGGGTATTTAAGTCTGTGTGAACGGAGTGGTTTGCTTCTCTTGCAAAGGCTCTGTGTTGTCCTGGTTCTGAGTTTTAGCAGTAGACAACCATGCTGTTGCTACTTGTCCCCCAGTTTAAAACATCCGCTTCAATGGAGTTCTCTATGCTGAGGATTGAGAGCGCCAAGGAATACCTCGCCGCTACAGGAAGCAGTCATTCATAATCTGTTTCCTTTAGCTATTTTTAACCCAATAATCCAGCTGTGGGGCTGTCTTTTCAGCTGGGACAGAAGAGTCAAGGTCTGGTTTTATCAGAGCAGAGCGTTACTTGAGATGCTGATGTTTACTCTGCAACTCTTAGTCTCCGTTACTCGGAAGCATTAAGGACCAGACATAGCGTAAGGGTTGTTTAAAAGCCCAAAGCTTCACAATAAAGGTATTTCTTTACCTCTTACACCTCAGCTGTAGTAGAGCGTAGAATTGTGCTGTGCTGTTTGGCTCGCTCCTACCACTCCCCTCGCCTGCTGTGGTGGAACACGTACGTCCTGCACCAGTCACACTTCTCAGAGTCCCCAAGAGATGCTGCTTCCTTTTCTGCTGAAACAGTTCAGGAGAGGTTAAAGTCTCTGGTTACTCAAGAACAGCTCTCTGCAAGCTGTACTTCTACCGTGCTGTTACCCCCCTTGCTCTGAGAGCAACAGCCCCTTCCCCGCAGTTCAGAATGATATTTTTTTTTTGGAGCAGTGAATGACATCTGCTAAGTTACCTGTTGTTAACAGCAGGAAGGCGCTGTGCTTCTGCCAGTCAGGGCTGCTTCTGGCTGCCTGTCACTAACCACCAGGAGTGATGCTGCTTAGAGTGCAGTTCAAGCTCAAGTTGGCTAGGAAGAGCTGTTCTGCTGTAGTCTCCTCGCAGCTGCTATAGACGAGGGTATGGAGTAAGTCAAAGGTATGCTGTAATAGCCACTGATGCTTTTGTGTTTAAAACCTACCAGGTTCCACCTCCTGCGCTCACAAGAGCGGAAGACGAGGCATCCCGCCCCGGCTCTTTGTTCAGGCAGCTTGTAACCGAGGAGGAAGACACAGCTGCACCTTCTCTCTTCAAGCTGGGATGGCTTTCTGGCATGACCAAGTGATGCAGTAAAAAATAAAAAGTTTGTCTGTGTATTTGTCTTCATAGAGATGGCTCTCTCCCCTTGGCAGGGAGCAGTGACGCCTTCGCTGGTATTCTCACAAGAGAAGTCCTTTTCCATCCTTGGCTAGATCGTAGTACGCCCCTTGAACCAGGCACGGGTCAGGATTGTCCTTGTGTAGCTACTCTTTCACCTCCTATTCCTTAGCAGTCATTAACGTTAAAGTCTAATTAAAGAGGGGGGAAAAAAAACCTTCCACACTCTAACAGAAAACAAACCATTTCACAGCTAGAAATGGGTACTGGAGCAATGTAAGGCTCCTCCTCCTTCCAAAGCCCCTCCCCAGGCTACCCTACAGTTGCCTGCTTAGGCACCACGAAGCTGCTCTCGGTGAACCCAGCGGGCACCTGACATTTCGGCTACGGCTGCCCAAGCTGTCCTGGTTCTAGTTTCACATTTTCTTTTCAGTACTGCAGCAATAAAGATCAAGAGAAAGAAGGCTCATCGCACGGAGCCGGGTGGAAAGTTCGGAGCTGGGGCAGTCCTAGGGGATGCCAGTGACGGCACCTATTCTTACTGTCTTATTAACTCTAAATGCTCAAAAAAATTATGTTGCCAAATAAATTTTTTACTAGTTTATTGAAATTAAAAAAAGACTTATAAAACTGAAGATGAACGTTTGAGAGAACTTTACATAAAGCAACAAATTGCTAACAAACAGATTAGGCAGTCGATTGGAATTGGACATTTTGCAATCCTATAACACAGATGTGGATTCCTCGGTCTCCTCTTGACACGCACTTTATAGCCACCCCAAAAAGAATCCTATAAAAATTGCTTCAAAGCCCCTTTTGCATTGCAATAGTGCAGCAAACCACAAGTAAACAATTTCCTGTTAACCTGTTATTTCAAATATAGACTGAAAAGGCAACAGGCGTTTTGTGCAATTCCATTTTAACAAACTTTTAAGTTGAAATATCAAATCTACACAGTGCTGTCCCTTCACAGAAGGCGGGGAACTGCTGGTTCATCATGTAGGAAGGCGTCCCCGGCTCTGTAAGCTGTGAAAGTGTGCCTCCTTCAGGATCTGGTTGATGTGGAAGTAAGGACCTTGGCTTAGTGCAGACTGCTCGTGGAAGGACTGAGAGGAAACAGGACTGGATCCTGCAATTATCGGGTTTAGGCTGGTTTCTGCACTGCACGCTCTGTCAGGGCTGTTGATGCTACTGCTACTACAGCTGCTGCTGCTGCTGCCGCTATCGCTGCTGGAGGACTGAGACAAAGAGAAGGTTAACAGCAAAATCACACAGGCTTCTCTCCTGTCCGTAACGAAACACCACAGTTAAGCAAACAAGCTTTACAGTGAGGCCCTCCCTTCCAGATTTTCAGGCTCACGTTCAGCCTGATGGACTAACAAAAACCCACCTTCTGTTACTGGCAACACGCGAAAAGCGTCACAGAGCTGAAGGGATGAGCAAGCCTTCACCCGGAGGTTCGCTGACCTCCAGGACTCTGGAGTTCAATCCCTCGGTTTTAGGCCCACCAGCTCTGCCCCCATGACCCACGTTAGCACTAGTGAAGTTTGCTGAATTCATCCGAGAATTGGAAAATAAAGAACATTCCTACTGAAGTGCACGTGTCAGTAAAGGCAGGCAGGGCACGAGGAAAAGTTTATCGCTTCTGTTCTAGCAGACATGTGAGGTAAGCACCATGCAAAGCGTTTTCCTACAAGTCAATCTTTCTAAAGTGAGATCTGAAGCATCCAAAGCAACAGGCTGTTAAAAAATGCCACACGATACCCATTTTAAGTCTTTGAACACCTTGACATACATACAATTACGCTTCTCCCAGTCAGGTTCTGGGATGGCAATGTTAACTGGCAGTTTTCCATAAATATTTCCTTGACAGGACAGTGAAAGAGCATCAGGCATCGAAGACTTCCACATGCAGAAAAGAGAACTCATGATTTAGGTCACAGAGAGGCCAGGGCTCATTTGCGGCATTTAGGATAAACATTTCATGGTAACGATTGGAAGAGCATCAGCCATCATTTTCAGGGTTTCAAAGACATAAAACTGTTTGGTTTACACCATTTTAGGGGCTGCTAATGAAAGGCTCCATTAGTTACAGCTGAAATATTTCATTACTGTGCGATATGCTGTTCAGGATAACACTGCAAATATTTAGGTGCTTAAGAATCAGAGAACGGCTGCTTTGCCATCTCCTAAGCAGTAAATTCACAAAAGCAGCCAGCGTAAGTGACAACAGCTAAAAAATACCCCACATTTTAGTAAGTATTAAACTAAAACCACAGAAGTCAAAGCTTGGTGGCCACAGCAGAGGAAGACAAATTTAAAGAAGTCCACAGTAGTTTAACAGTCAGCACCACACCCAGAAGGCCTCACTTTGGGGTAAATCTGAAGAATGGTGCAAACTGCACCCGACATGGCTGTCAGCGAGCAGTGAGAAAGGCCCAGGAAGGCACTGTATGAGTATTTGGGGTGGACCACATCTCAGTGCCGCCTGGGAACCCCACGGCACTGATTCCACGATCGATCGTGACAATTCAACCCTATAAATTTCCTCGTTTTGCTAAGGACCAAAAATGCTTCAGTTCTGTTGTAGTACAGCAAGCAAGCCAACGGCACCTCGGCTGCACCCGTGCTGGCAGGTTAGGTTCAGCTAGCAAGGAGAAAACAACAGAAGACACGTGAAGTCATTCTTGAGGAAGCAGCAGAGGTAACTACACGAGCAACCAGCTCCTCTTCCTACTGCTGCTAACACTAGCGAGGGAGAGAACACCAGAAGGACAGAGAGGAGCCGCGAAATGGTGCCTGCTAGACCATCTCATTTTGCATAGCAGCACAAATATTGAAATGCAATGCTGTTACGCTGAACAAGTGACAGCAGCCTTGGAGAGAAACCCACCGCACAGGACACTTTGTTTCCTTTTAGTCTGTGTTCCTTACTGTTTTTCGTTACAGCCACCTTCTGAAAATCAAGGTAAAAATCAAAATGAGAACCTAGTATTACTTAACTGCTAAAGTTTCACATCTTAACAAACGTTTTAGAGCTGTTAGTAATTATTATTTTATGCAGGTCTAATTTTTTTTTTTTTTTTTTAAACAACTGAGACAGTGTCCTGGGACGTGCTTCCTACATCTAAGGCTGTTGACAGATCTGGTTTGTCAGACCCTCTTTATTTCCATTTCTCTAATGCAAAAATTCACTAGCACGTGAAGCCCGTTTATTGCCCAAATCACGTCAAAGACCTACCATTTCCCCAGGCTGTGGTGCACATTCTGTTACGCATTTGGACTACAATTAGACAAAAAAAGAATCCTTAAAGTCATCATGTCAGCAATGACAGGCATCTACACAATGAAACAAAGTTTTAAGCGAAAGGGCAAAGGGAAGTAGCCCAATGAAAGTTTATGAGTACTTTAAGTATCAAAAGGACATCTTCACAGTTTACCTGACTCATTAGTCCCTCTTAACATCGCTTTAAGTAATGTCCAAACAAATGTCCTGTTAAATGTATTAGTCTGCTGACCTGTGATGTAGCATCTCAATCATTCATGACAGGAACTTAAGAAACAGCTGTGCAGATCCTGCCGCCCTCAAAATCTTTCAAGAGGAGTTTAACAGAGGCATAATCTGGTTTGAATTAGAATTTAAGACCAGCCCTTCCTCAATAGCGTAATACTGTAGAGTGGCATAGCTGCAACGGAAGGCAAAAAACTTTGATTTGAGAAAAGCAAGTGGTGCTGTGCGTCAGCAGTCTCCACAGATGCAGCAGTGGTATTTCTAAGCTGGGGAATCCTGTCATGGGTCAGAATAGCGAAGAGGAACCACAAGAAATGAGGCTTTGCAGAAGAAAGTTACTCGGGAAGGAAAAGAGCTAGTCAGAACACTGCAGACTCCCTTCCTTCCCAGGGAAAACCAGAGCAAAGGGCTTTTCATCGGTGATTCCCCAGGCTGCAGAGCACAACTGCAGATTCTCATCATTCCCGTGAGCGGCTGCTCGCAGCCGGCTTCTCAGAAGATCCACTACAACTCTGCCTAACTCCACGTACAGGACAGCGAGTACCAGGGAAAACAACACAGCCAACCTCCTGGTAAATGGAGGACAGGCTGAGCGGGAAGCGAAATGCAGCGGCAAATGCTCTGCTTCGCTAATGTTTAACATTCGCCATAGTTGTAGCCTAGCGTTTTCGTCGTGTGCCTGTTCACAGACTGAACTGCAAAGCAGAAGTTCACTGTCATCCTCAGGGTGGCTGTCACCTAGGAGTGTGGGAGCGGTTTGTTCCAGGAGGAGCAGGAATCGCACATTGTTATAGCAATTTTTCAAGAAGCAGTGCTGACAGAGATTGAAGAGAATCTGTTTCCCTCCTGTAAAAGTCAGTCGGTGCCAAGGACGCTGCCTACTGTGGATGAAAGGGCAATCTAGTGGCAGAAAACAGCGATATCCTTTTGCATCAGATCTAGCTCATGACAACAGTAGGATTCAAACTGAGGGACTGAGGGGCAACATCACAGAACAGCCCACGATTGACCTGCCTCTAAGAAAAAAAAACCTCCCTTCATCTTACACATACTGCTGTCAGCTATGACAAAAAAAAAATAAAATTGAGAGAGATCCAGACAAAAGCCAAGCTCAGGTTTAGCATTACAGCTGCCTGATTTTCATACTGGGGTTATGTTCTCAAGTAAACCACCCTCTCTAAGAGAAAACAGTCAACTTTCAACTGAAGGAAGGCTAAAGGAAGCAGTCCTTTAGCTAACGTTTCACAAAAAGCAGGTGTGCATATGCCTTCAGATGAAAAGCAGTTCTCTCCTCATGTACTGTTTGAAGTTACAAATTACTCTCGCACACACATCGTCTCTCCCAGTTCAATATCCTAAAGCTAGCGAGGATTTGTAATCGGCAAGAGCTGCCTTTGTAAATGGCAAACTATCAGGAAACTAAATAAGAGTATTACAAATGGCCAAGAATTTTAAAGTGACATCAATCGGAAGCACTTGTGCGCTATAAGCACAGGAAGTCCTTAAAGAAACAGTCAAATAATACTGATTTAATCTCATGGCTTGCATTTCTGGGCATGCTCAATTCAGTGATCCAATGTTACAAGAAAACAAGCAAAAAAAAAAAAAAAAGCAGGAAAAAAAAAGCGAAAAAAGAAAAAGAACTGCTAGCTCCAATCGTTCCAATGTTAAAAAAAAAAAAACAAAAAAAAAAAAAAAAAGCAGGAAAAAAAAAGCGCTCTATTCATCAGTAGACAACATTGTGGATTTTGTTCCCTCAAGAAAGGGAACACTGATTTTTGTAAAACTGTCTCCAGCAGGCGCATTCCTCTACTTCCAGCGTCAACAGTAAGAGATTCTCCTTGCCTGCACGTCAGGGTTTAATGTGTTAAAAACATACTTTGACAACACAAGTGCATGCATGAAGCAGGAGTCTTAATGTTAGCTTCAGCAGTTGAACTCTGCACTGATTTCGCTGGCGGCGGGGCAGGCAGTTCATGCCCGTGCTGTTCACTTGCAGGCACCCCAAACAAAACAGAAGTTAAGGACAGAGTTAAGGTCATCCAAGCTTGTGTGGCTACTACAAGACCATCTCCATTTCTGCATTTTAGTGGCTTTGCCCAGGCAAACGCCAAGTGTTTATATGACACGCAAAGGTGCTTCTGCCACTCACCATGAAGGTTTTTCCTGATATTCTTAATTTCATTACTCCTACTTCAATCCCTTGTTCCACACTAAATTCTTCCTCCTCCCGCCACAAAGCTCGTTTAGCCATTAACTACTCTACAAACGAAGAGGTGTTTAACCTGTTGGACAAGTGATTCAGTGTCAGATGGCAAGCAACTATTTATGGTTCTACCCGTTATACCCGAGAAGCAAAAACTACTTCATCCCAGCAAGTCTTACTTCCAGCAAAACAGCAACACACGAACCAGGAACATTTTTCTTCACAGCAAATTCCGTCATGATGAATGCCTCAGCTATTAGGGCATTTTCCACACAATATCACTGACTATCGCATCAGCTACGTGCAATGGTATGCTGGTTAAAAGAATGTCTCCCTCACAGAAGGAACAGGGGGATACAGAGCTTTGCATCACTTTACATGTAAGTATACATTTGAAGCCATTACCTTATGATAAAAGAGATGTTGCTCTAAGTTACATAGCACAAAACATTTTCTGCAAAGGACAGTTAACAGCTCAATGTAACTGCAAGAGTTCGTAATGACTCATTACAGCCAATCTTCGGAGTGAGAGGGCTGTACAAGAACCAAGGCTATTTCAAAAACCTTAAAAGAAACCCATTTCATTAACTTCCAGGGACACAAACCAGGAGGGAGCCTCTGCTCTGCACGCTCTTTTCTATAAATATTTTGCAACAGAACTACATTGCTAATTAGAAATGCATACAGTGAATTTTCAGATGATTAATACAGGCAACAATTCAGGAAATCTGGCAGCAGCTTGGAAATCAGCATTTTTTAAAAAAAGAAATCTCATAGCTAGCAAATTGCACCATCCTAGAACACCTGTCATGTGAGCGATGAGAGTCAGTTTATCCCACGTCCAGCAAAAGATCATGGCAAATACGAGTAGAAACCCAATAGCTTGAGTTCAAGTGCTTTAGCTGTAACCGAGCAAGTCTTGCTTGAACCGACGAGCTCCATCAGAGCATTTTTTAAACATCAGATAAGCGCTACCGCTTGCAACCAGCACTTTGTGTATCACACTAGTTGGAATGCTTTTTGACTTTCTGCCACAAATAATCCCATTACTGTAAGTAAATGCAAAATTGGAAAAGTAGATGGCCAGGCAAAGTGACCACACGCACTTGTAATCCACCCCAGTCGTCTCCTCGGTTCTGGATACGTTACACCTCATTTCAGACAGCAAAACTAGAAATGGCAGCAAATGCTTTTCTTGCATCTTCACTTGGGTGCTACACATCAGTGCTTGAAATATATTAACAGAAATATCCAGGCCAAAGATAACCAGGTTCACTGGAAAACATGCTGATTTCCAAACCTCGTTTTACAGATTTCAATCTCTGAAGCACGTAACAGAGTGACCTCATACACAAAGCAAAAAAAGTGTTTTCATTAAGTACTCTCCATGAATAAAACTTCACAGAATATTCCAACTGTTATTTAAATTCAGCATTAAAGGAAACTGAATTTGCCCGAGAAGGCTCTCACCTCAGTGTCCCAAGAATCCTGAAGGACAGTGTTCCTGGTATTACGTTTTGTCTGGGGAACATGACCATCATCTTCATTGCCATTCCGTCTCCTCTTCCTGAAGAAAGTTCAGGGAGAACGGAGGAAAAAAAAATAAAATTATCAGCTTACTGATATACCTTCTGTTTTGCTCTCTAACGGCAACTTTACCAAAAAAGCAGGAAAGCTTGATAAATTAGGGAAGCATGTATCTAAATCTCTGATGTGCCGCAGACTTTCATATTCTCTTTTTAGCTGTTCTCTGCAGAAAAGAGCAGGAACTATCACGTTTCTCACAAAGCACCCAGGCTGACATTTTCATATCAGTTTAAGGGACACAGACTCACACCTGCCATTAAAACCAGTGCTGAGCATCTTTCTAAACACAATCATTTGACAGTTCTCAGCCTTGCAACTGCTCTCAGTACTCAGGCACGCCTAAAAATAAGCCCGAGACTATGAATGACATCTGACAGGCTGAGAAAAGCAGCCGGGAAGAGTAGCAGTGACCGCACTTTCAATAAATACCCAGTTACGTTCATCTTGCTTACATGAGTCTGCAGTTAGTGCCTGTCATGACTTTAGTCTCTCCACTCTGACAGCATTTGAAGTCAAGTCACATTCCCAAGCACCATTATTTTCCATGCAGAAGGAAGGTTTTCTTAGAAAACGCCTCACAGAAGACAAATCCTTCCCTGTTTCTGATGTATTTCCCATCCTCTTATGACATCGACGCTACTTCACACCAGCTGACCAACAGCAGCAACCTAGAATCCCTGCGAACCAACACCTCTCGCTGTCTGCGTAATTTTAATACTAACATAATTTTTCACACCATACGAACATCACAGGTCAACGAGGACGTCAGCATGATGGGCACTATCCAAAATATAGAACAGAGCTGTTCTGGTGGCTGAAAATGAATGCATAAGCAAATGAGTCAAAACAGACTCAGGGGAGGTATTTCTAACTGAATCTTTTTTTACAAACAAGCTTCAGCAACAGACTCAGCTGCCAGTATTTGGTCCACGCCTACGGACCAGGAGCTGCCTCCCAGCTCTCCTGTCCCTCGGAAGCCCACCGCACTCTCAGCCATTGTCCACCACAGTTCATTGACTTCTCCTAGGGCCACTCTTCTTAGAAGAGACTCTTAGAAGAGACATCACACACACACACACCCTCGCTCCACAGTTGTGTGGCCTCTAGATCCCTCCTTAACACCTGCAGCCCACGAGCAAATTCAACGCCTCCATCCCTCACGGCCCACCTGAGGCACTCACAGCCCAGCTCCTATGGGCTTCACGCTCCCTCCTGTTTCTCCCCGAGCCCAGGCTCTCTGCCCAGGTAGGACCTACCCCCCGCCCTTCCCCACCAAGCCGAGAAATGCCCCTCCAGCCCACCGGGAGGCCCCCTACCCTCTGCATTCCCTACGCCCCTTTGATCTCCCGAACGCAAACAAACGCCCCCCCACCCCCCCTACACCTTTAACCCCCACCGCTGCAATTTAACTCCTTCCAGAGATCAGGGGGCCGCTCCTCCCCTCTCCCCCCATCCCTCACCCTCTTGCTCAAGCCAAGCCCCCGGGGCAGCGTAAGC